GGACCTGGGCTGATTTAGCCTGCAGAAGGAAAGACTGAGGGGGATTTGATAGCAGCCTTCACCTTCCTGCCGGGGGGCTGCAAAGAGGATGGAGCTGGGCTGTTCTCAGTGGGGGCAGATGACAGGACAAGGAGCAATGGGCTCCAGTTGCTGCAAGGGAAGCTGAGGTTAGATATTACGAAAAACTTTATAATGGGGAGGGTGGTGAAGCACTGGACCAGGCTACCCAGAGAGGTTTTGGAGTCTCCAGCCTTGGAAGTGTTTAAGCCCCGGCTCGACAAAGCCTTGTTTGGGATGATCTAGTTGGGGCTGGTCCTGCTTTGAGTCAGGGGTTGAACTAGATGTGACCTCCTGAGGTCCCTTCCAGCCCTCATTTTCTGTGATTTTATGGAAATCCTCCTTATTCCTTGGAAGCCTGGAGAAAGCCTCTGCTCCAGCACCAGGACATCCCCTTGGGTTCAGTTAGACTCCCAGAGCTGTGGGGCTGGCAGGGACCTGCAGAGGTTACCTCTAGTCCAACCCCTGTCTGAGGCAGGATCGGCCCTGTCCAAACCAAAGTGACCCTGCAGGCCAGAGCATGAGGATGTGGGAATCCAGCCCCTGTGGGTGTTGATCAGGGGCACCGGATCCTTTACGTAGCCCAGATCTGACACGTCAGGTCTCTAATGCGTTTCATCCTTGCTGCCATCGCTCTCCCCTGTCCGGCAGGGTCACACTCCCCTGGCTGCTTCCGCTTGCTGATCCCTGAGAGCTGGCTCCGTCCTGACCCAGCATGGAGAAGAGACACCAAATACCACTGAAAGGCGATAAAATCACCACATAAAACCAGTTGCGTGCTGCAGGGTCCAGAGAGGAGGGAAAAGCAGCAAAGGATCCTCCTCGCCGTCCGACCAGAACGGATGGACATGAACGCCTCCGGGTTTTGGGCTTGTGTGGCAGATGTCTTTCCCAGACACATGAACCTCAGCAGTGGAGGAGCAGGGATGTTGCGTGCAAACAGGTTGTCTCTGTGACTGAGCTCCCGTTAAATCCTTCCAGACACTGGCCAGCACCTTGAGGCCCTAGACACCTGTCCAACCAGCCTCTCACATGGCAGCGGGGGACGTCCAGTGCTCGAAGGCGGAGGCTGAACAGTTTGCAGTGACTGATGCCAGGCACCTGAGGAAGAGAGGCCTTTGCAGCCTGGTGCTTCAGGTGCTGGGTGCATCTGTCACTGGGCCCACATCCTCTGCCATCAAAAACTAAACACCCATGGCTTGAGCTCTTCACCCTTGGGGTAGGAAGGGCAGGGTTTTGTGGCCTTGTGCACTTTGCAGGACGAGCTCAGTCCTGCTAGTGCAGTGTTTGGATGAGGGCAAAGGACAAGCCTGCAGGGAAAGAAGAGAGGGCCTTCATTTCGTGTTGGGTTTGGGTGGTGACAGGACGTCTGTGCTAGCAGCCGTGTTGTTTGGGGGACAGAGGGATGTGGAGTAGTGGTCTCCATCTTAGAGGGGTCCCTTGCTCTGGCACAAGGGCCCTTTGTAGAACGCTTGCCGCATGCCCACGTAGGTCGAGACTTCATTGCAGTACGTCCGCCGCGCCTGCCTTTCCCCTGCTCCGCTCTCCTGCTTTGGTGTCCTCTCTGTGTGCCAGATGGCTGTAGCACCAGGTCGCTCGCACCCTGGCCTGCTCTGCCCAGGGGGATCTGAGCCGTGTCTCAGGCTTGGGCGGGTGGTTGGTGAAAGCGGCGCGGGGTTCTCTGCATGGGAAACGTGAGGTTTGGCTTTGACTCTCCCTTGTCACAGCTCAAGCGGGCATGCAGTCATGAGAGCTTTGTCTCGCTGAACAGGTCCTGAACCCTCTGGCTGGACAGGCCTGGGTTATCCCTTCCGAACCGTTTCTCCTCCCTGGTTGGGGTGGGGATGACAGGAGAGGAGGAAACCTCCCATGTGTCCTTCTGAAGGCTCGTGCTCACCCCGGCAGGACGCTGGATGTGATCACGGTTCAACCTTGCCCGCTCACCGCCGTCAGCCTCTCATCACCCCCAGGCCATGGGGCAAGGCTGGCTGCGGATGTGGGAGACAGACTGAGGTGTCTTGTGCTGTCTGCTCCCAGCTGTGCTTGCGGGATGGGAGCTGTGCCCTGGGTGGGCGTTGGTGAGCTTCGTGTGTGCGTTCGGAGGGCACCGTGTCCTGGCACGGAGCAGCAGGTCGCCAGCAGGCAGGGCTTCCCGTACTGATGCAGCCGCAGCGTGACCTGTATCTATATCACCTCCGACTTCTTCCAGCTCAGTCCAGCGCCTTCCCTCTGCTGTGGGCTCTGAGCCTGGCCCCCCATTCTCAGCAGACAAGTGGGGGGCAGGAAGCTGCCACAAGAACCAGCTGTCGGGGCAGGGAGGAACTTCCCCATCCTCCCGCTGTGGAGCATCTAAGACCCCTTGAAGCATTTATGAACCTCTCCCCATTTCACAGCTGGGAAAAACTGAGGCATGGAGGAAAACTGAGGCAACCTCCCCTCCCCCATGTCAGCCCTCTGCCTGAGCTTCGAGCCCAGCCATCCTTCCTCCATGCCCCTACCCCCCGACCCGCCTACAGGTGTTGGGGCCGGCGTGGCAGCCTCCCCTGCAAGGGTTAAGGTTGCAGAGGCGGTGGTGGCTGCTGGGAGGGGCGCAGAGTCCAATAACCCGCACCCCGGGTCTGCGGCAGGGGGATTAATTCATGCACTTGATGTTAAAGCCTGGGCGAGGGGCTTGGCCGGGGAGGGGGGGCATCGCTAGGGCTGGCCGGCCTCTCTAAATGGTTGCTAGGGGCCTGGCATCGGGGCCGGTGTGGCTGCCCACAGTCACGGTCACGGAGGGAATTACACAGCCACAAAGAAATTGTTCTTCTCCATAATCTGCTCTTTGGAGGGCGCCCGGGGAGCCGGGCCGGCCCCAGTGCTGTGATCAGGGAAGCGTGCTGGCCGCACGGCCCGGGCCGGGCCCTGCCTTCTGATCTGGGGGGGACCCCAGCGCCCCGGCTGCCTAAGCCTCTTTCCCACCGATCCCTCTCCCCGGACACAAAGGTGTTTGCTTGTTTTACCAGCTCCTGGGACTCCATCGCGCCTTTGTGTGGTCTTTATCCCCCCGACGGGGCTTTAGCCCAGATTACAGATGGAATTAAGGCATTTGGCGAGGGTGGCGAGCCACCGCGACACGGGATCAAGCAGCATAAAGTAACCGAAGGACCGGGCGGGGAGGGGGGGGTGGGAGTGACCCCACCGGCCGGGCCCATGCTGTCGGCTTTCAAGAGCACTTCATTGTCCCAAGAGCCCAGAGCCTGCCTCAGACGGCAGCCGAAACGCAGGTGCTCCAAGGTTTATTGTGTCCCTTTGGGATTAAAGCCGGGAGGGGGGAGCGGCAGATAGGTGGCCCCTCCGGCAGCTGGGCGGGCGGGTTTCGGCTGCAGGGAGGCTGGGGCCGGGCCAGGCTTGCCCGGGACTATGTCCGTAGCCGCGTGACATGACTCAGGTGCCCGTAGCACCCAGCTTAGCATCCCTAAGCCCCAGGGTACTGCTGCCATTGGGTACCTGCCTGCCTCTCTGTGTCTTGGTGGCTATGGAAGACCTGGTGCTGCTCAGAAAGAACCGCTTGGATCTGTGTCCGGTGGCGAAGCTCCAAGATGTTGAGAGTCTGCTGGGGCAGGGTGCTAAGGGGTCTGTGTAGCCCTCTGCTCAGTGAGGCTGCCTGAGGCAATGGCGCTCTGCAGGGAAGAGTACGTTTCACCACCCCCATAACTATAGCCGAGGTGCCCCCACCTCGTGCCAGTTATTCTCTGTGCCGATGCCCCTTTCTGCATGTGTCTCTGCCCCATCTGGACACCTGTAGCTCGCGAGCTCTTGCTGCTTTTTGCTCTTCCCTTCTCTAAGGGCCAGATTCTAGGATCATAGGAACGTTGGGCTGGAGGGGACCTTATGAGGGCATCTAGCCCAGCCCTCTGCTCATGCCAGGATCATCCCTGACTCGACCATCCTGGCCATGTGTCCATCTAACCTGCTTCTGTTTCCAGTGACATGATGAAGTGTCACGATGCCGCTTTATACATCCGTGGTGTGTCCACACCTTGAACCCGGTGCCCTGTTCTGGTCCCCGCTTCTCCAACAGGATCTAGAAGAGCTGGAGAAGGTGCAGAGAAGGGCACCAGGGGGATGGGTGCTATGGAGGGGTGAGGAGAGACTGATGAGCCAGGCCTGGTCGGCTTAGACACGAGACGCTGGAGGGGGGACAGGAGGAGGTTTCCCAAATACTCAAAGGAGAAGAGAAAGTCGCTCGGGATTTATTACTGATGGTCTCTCACTGGACAAGAATGGGTGTCACCACATGGCACAAGCAGACCAGCAACTTAAAACAAACACCAGGACGTTGTTTCCCTGGTTTGGGATTAAAGCAGGGAGTTGTGGCCCCCAGATGCGATAGGAGCCGAGAGCTCAGCCAGATTCGCACGGGGTCAGACGTGCTCGGAGGAAAGGGGCATCGGTCGCTACTGAGCAGGGAGTGCGGGGCATGGCCTCTGCATCAGACCTGCCTGGACCTTAAAGACCTCAAGGGAGAGAGGAGCTGGGGAAACCCTGCTGGGACCCAGGTCACTCTCCCTTCCAGTCACTGCTCTTTGCTGCAGCGTGATACCAGAGATTGGTCAAGATGGACCCGGGTCTGCCTCCCCCTGGCAGCTCTTCTGTTCTGATGCCCTGCGGAGGTCCCTCCCAGCCCCACTTCTCTAGGATTTCTATCATTTTTCAATCAGCCTTTCAGTTCCTGCCTTTCTTACCAGGCTGTTCAGTGCTCAGCGAGGCCTGTTCTTGCCAAGCTGTTCTTCCCTCTTTCCCCATTCTGCAGCATTTCAACCTGGGATGTTGCTGGCCATGATACCCAGGGCCTCTTTACATGCCCGCAGCACTAGCGGCTGGGCACTGGAGGTGACACTGATGTGGCAGGGACCAGTTCTGGGCCATGCTGAGTCCCCCCTCACCCCATCTCTTTCCAGTGGGCAGCTCGAGACCTGCCTAGGAACTGACTTCCACCGTGGTGCCGGCGTCCTGGATGTCCTCTATGAGACGCCCTTCTCCCTGCTTTCCTGCGGCTACGACACCTACATCCGCTACTGGGATCTGCGGGCCAGCACGCGGTAAGCCAGCCTGGGGCATGGGACACAGGCGAGCACCAGGAGCTGAGTCTCTCTGGTGCCCATACCAGCAGCTGGCTCCAAGGTATCCAGGCACCTTTGCTGACCCCCAGCCTTTTTCCTGCCCTGCAGGAAATGTGTCCTGGAGTGGGAGGAACCCCACGACAGCGCCCTGTACTGCGTCCGAAGCGATGGAAACCACATGCTGGCCAGTGGCTCCTCCTATTACGGCGTTGTGCGGCTCTGGGACAAGCGGCAGAGCCGGTGCCTGCAGGTGAGGCCGGGCTGGGGGTGAGCGGGGCTGGATGGGTGCTGCTCCTGGCTCTGGGTCCCAGATCCCAACGCGACCCAAGCTGGCAGGGAGCCCAAGCCCCAGTCCGTGACTGTCCTGCTTGGTCCTCCACAGAGCTTCTCCCTGTCATCGCCCACCAGCAGCCCTGTGTACTGCCTGCGCTTCAACACCACCCACCTCTACGCTGCCCTGGCCTCCACACTGCACGTCCTCGACTTCATGGCCCCCTGATGCCCACCCGGCACAGCAGGACACTCAGCTCAGGGACTGTCGGGTGGGGATGGGGGCATGTGGCCCTGGACACATCTCACGGGGATGCTGGCTGCTGGAGGGAGCATGGAGGGGGGCCGGCGGCCTCTCCCCAACCTGCCTTAGACATCAATAAAGGCCAAGGGGCCTTTGCCCCTTTCAGTCTGTGCCAGCTGGGTGGTGTGGGCTGGTTTGGGGCTTCATTGGGGTTTTACTTATCTCATTGGGACATAGCGCCTTGGGGCAGCGGGGAGCCCTGTGCCAGCATTCCAGGACAGGCCACGCAGCCACCGGGGGCACAGATCAGCCTTTGGATCATGGGCATGTGGGCCCTGGCAGGCAAAGTGGGGCTGACCTCTCCCCACCGCTGCTCTACGTGGCGCCTTATGGGAGTCAAAGTAAGAGCCAGGAGCAGGGCTGGGACGCACATGGGGAGGACATGTTTACAGGACTCAGAATAGGCAGGATGTTCACTGCACCGTGCTGAGGGTCTGAGACCCACAACTGGCTCCAAAAGCAGCAGCCCAGGCTGTACCTGCCTGGCGTTCGTGCCCCAGGCAGCTGCCTCTGGGCATCATGGGGAGATGGCAAATGTACAAGGCCAGGCTGGGGGTCTCTAGGGCATTGCAGGCTTCCAGGCATCTTGGCTTGGAATTAAATAAGCTTTGGGATTTGCTTTTGGCTGGAACCAGCGCCGACCCCTCACTGGAGCGGGGCAGTGGGCAGGAGGGGCTCGCTGTGCCACTTGCCTGGTGGCATCCTGAAGTGTGTCGGGTCTCAGCATGTGGCACTTCTCTGGGACCTGCAGCCTCCCTCCGCTCGATGCTGGGCATCGCTGTATTTCTGGGTGACTTGGGCACGGAGGAGGGAGACCCCGGTCAGGCTCCAGGATACGCTGACCTGAGAGCACCTCTGGGTCGATGATCTCGCTGTTCCATGACGTGGGAGAATAAAGCGTCCCTCCTTCCTGCAGCCACCGCCGGCTCTCCTTCCTTTCTACTCGAGGGAGTGCCTGAGCTGGGGTCCCTGGCTTGAATAAAACTACCTGGCCCTCAAGGTGTGGCTCAGGGGGTACAGGCCTCACACCCAGGCAGAAACCATCAGTGTGGACAACCATCTCTGAGCTGGGAGCCCTGCCTGGCTGTGGGGTTGCTAGGCCAGTGTGCTCCTGGGGAAGATGCCCCATGCCCCAGCCAGGTTGGGGGAGATGGGAGGTGCTCCCTGGGGTCACCGCTACCCTCATCCCCACCATGCGCTCTGCACAGCTCTGTCCTTGCAACATGATGAGCACTCGGTCCCCTGCTTCGTACTGCTGCTGGCCACTGAGCTCAGAGGTGGCCACAAGCCCGGGGCAGGGGCTGGATGGGACCCGCCTGGCTTGGATCTGGGGCCTTGGCTGATGCAGCAGTGAAGCCCTCCCCGAGACCCTCCTTTAAAAGAGCTGGGCCCTGAGTGCAGGAGCTGCCTCCAGCCCATCCCAACAGGTAATGGGGGGGCTTCCCCGGGGCACCCAGACGAGCCCTGGGCCTGCCTCCGAGTGTCTGGAAACCCTCCACCCTTTGGAGGCTTGGCCTGTGGCAGCATCCAGGTCCTGGGGCTCTCACAGTGCCTTCCCCAAGCTGGCAGCACATGGCACTTGTCCCCCCACCCTGAGACGGGAGGCAGGTCCCTAACGGAGAGATCCCTGCAGCATCTCACAGCAGCCTGCTTTTATTAGAGAAAGATGGGGAATGAACAGTAGGGCTGGAGGGTGCCTGTAGGTGCCTACTGGGTCTTGCACTCCCCATCCCCGTTGTCCACTGCCTTGATCTTCTTCAGCTCCTTCTGCAACTCCTGCTCCGCAGCCAGGATCTCCTTCGGCTTCTGGTACTGTGGGATATGGCAGCCTCAGTGCCCCAGCCCATTCCAGGATCCTGGCCCCAACTGCCAGGGCATGACATGCCCTCTCCTTTCTCCCATCCTTTTCTCCCCCTGTGGCAGGTGCAGTATGGGCCCGGGAGGAGAAGTGATGGGCAAGAGGAGCCCCCATGCTTCCCTGGGTGCTCTAGCCAGGAGGTGGCTGCTCCCTCTAGGCACCAGGTGAGTCCTTGGCTCCTGTCCTTGTCCCCTGCAGGGGTGGCCTGTCCTTGTGGGGTGGTCACAGGGCTGGGATGCATGCCAGGCTGGCAGCGTTGTGTGGTGAATGCTGACGGCCCACCCCCAGACAATGGGAGGAAGGGGGCGGACGAGCTGGCCTTAATCCCTCCACCAGACTCGCTGGCCTGTCCAGCTGGGGCCAGGCTGTGGAACCAGTGGCCCTGTCTGGCCTCCTGCCGAGGCGGAGTGATCACCAGGCGAGACCCTGCTCCCTGCCTCAGCTTCCCTGCATGTAAAGCCAGGCCAGGAGCCCAGTTGGGACCCTACCGTGATGCTCAGGGTGTTGTTGGCGTGGGTGAAACTCAGCGCAGCAGCATCTAGGGGCAGCTGGTACCGGTCCAGGTCGGGAATGGAGAACTTCTTGTAGTACCTGTGAGGAGAGAGGAGAGGCTGAGCGAGGGCATCTCCCCTCACAAGCACTATGCCCTGGAGGTAATGGGTGGAGCGCAGAGCCTTCCTGCTGTGGGAAACCAGAAGGACCCCCTGAAAGCTGAGGCCTGATGGAGGCCCAGAAGGAGCCACTGGCCCCAAGCTGCAGGGAAGGGGCTGCACAGCTACCAACAGGGCCCAGCATGTGGGGAGGCTCTTGCAATGTGGCCGTGGCACCATCTGTGGCCTCGCCTGTGACCAAGCCCAGTCTAGCTGCCTTGCTGCCTGATCCAGTCACGACATGGGAGTGCTTCCGTCTTCCCGGAGCCACTGAGCCCTGCGAGGCAAATGCACTGCAGGAACACACGTCTCCTGCCTGCCACAGCCCATGGAAAACTGGGCCCAGAACTTCCTGCCACCATGGAGAGGCCCCTCTGCACCACATCCAGAAACCTCTGCACTAGAGCTGCCTGGGACCAGCAAGGCTGAATGGGGTGCAGCTGGCCAGCCTCCCGCAATGTACTCCTGAGCCACCACATCCCTCCCCACTGCCAATGGAAGACAGTTCCACGGTGACCCAGCGTGGCAGCTGGGGGTGTTTCACCTTGCCTCAGCTCCCGGCTGCCGCCTGTGGCTACGGTCTTGGCCACTCACTTATTTTCGCTTGGTTAACCATGGCCCATGGATGCCAGGGCCTGGGCCCTACCTCCATGGATCCCTCCCCA